TGATTCTCCTGATCGTCTAATACGGTCGAACAGGCTGAGATCCTCATCGACGTATATTTCGTAACGATCAGTTTGAATGAGTTTCTCAGTGTTAGGTTTCTTTCTTCAGCCGAAGTAAAGGTAACCTTTAGGAGGCGACCTTTCTGAGTACTTTCAGAATCAACATTTTGTCATATTCTATAAAACTTTCATCTGCTAAGTCTTGAAACTTTCTGGGCGTAGCTCGCTTATTCAGGACTTAATATGACTAAGGTCGTGCTGAAATCTGGCCTTCGGTTCCGTATCGGAAGATTCTCTTATGAAAAATGACTGACCAATCAGCGAGGTCCATTATAACACGCTGTAGAATTTTAGTTCCTGAAATAGTCTCTTCCAGGCAATTTGATTCCAATTTAGCGTCAAACACAGAGGTCTCATTCTGTTTTTTTATTTTTTTACTAGATGTGACTATGAGCCACTCATTTATCTTATTTTGTCTCTTGACTACATCCTGTACACCTCTCAGACTTGGCTCCCCATAGTTTGTATTGCATTGATATGTGAATCCGGAGCTGAAGTCGTGGATTCATATGCCTCAATTCCGTCTATAAGTAGTTTCCTTTTCTCTGTGACAATGCCTACATCTCTATGCTTATTTGATTACCTGATGGGGTCAACCTTTATGGTCTCATTTAAATCTAGAGCAGGGCTTATGATAACGCTCCTAATTTCCCTGAAAGTGTAATTCTGTTTATTTAATACTGCCTGTTTTTCTGAGGGCAATTTTCTAGCTATGTTCAGCAGCTCAATCGCCTCGGTTACTCATCCTCACTAGATCACGAATGAGTACTCTAGGCTTAACTTCTACAACCTCTAGTCAGTTCAGACAGATCACTTCTTGATATATTGACAACCTATCAAATATATCATTGAACCTCTTCGCTTATGACTTCTGATTGTACTGGGTTGGCACAGTTCGATTATAGAATTTGTTACTGGCTGATGTGTTGTTAAACTCCATTCGCGTTATAGTTAGGTAATGGAAAAGTCCACATTCGAACTGACGTCCATGGTCTGTAGTGATATTTAAAGTGCAGACGATGTTGGCTGCTCACCGCTCGACGAAGGCATGCGCCAATTTTTCGGCAGTAATGTCCTTGATGGGTTCTGCTTCTGGCCATCGAGCGAAACGTTCTTCATAAGTTAAGAGATAAAAGTATACACTTGGATCTGGTAAATGTTCTGCCGAATTCATATGAACATGGTCGAAACGAGCGTCAGGAGTTTTGAATGAACCTAATGAATCTTTGTTGTATCTAACCACCCTAGACTTCTGGCGGCTTACATAGGAACATGCCCATTCTTTTACGTCGATATTCATACATGCCAACAAAATCATCCTGCTGTGAGCTTGATTGTTGCACGAACACCTGGATGAAGAAGATTGTGCAACGTATTGATGACGCTGCGTCGATAATGTTTCGGCATGATTGGACTACCTCCACCTGTGGATGTGTCACATAGTAAAGTTTCCTTACCTGTTTCTGCCTGTCTGATACACAGTTTCAGGGTGGTCGAAGACAACTCATATTGAAGATCAGTGTCTTGTGTTTTGAAGCTGGGTGAGTTTAAGGTCTATTCCCTGGAAAATGTTCAAAGAACTTGTACGGGACAGTATTTGCTCCAGATATGTTATATATTTAAAGCACTGTCGGATGCTTCTACCGCGATGCTGATGGGTGATTTAGTGTCCTGATGTGCGAGCGGTGTTGCTTTGGTGACCAGTTTGTAGGAGGCCCAATGATCTGACTCCAAGATCGTATAAATGTTTGCTGTCGCCTATTCTCGTATATAATTGTCGACTTAGATCGCGTTATCCAATAACGGATTAAATAAGTCGAATAACGAGAATTGACTTGAGAATACATATATTTCGTACATGGAGCGAATGAAGCACAGCAAAGCAAAATGACACGTATGGAAGATGGCTGGGAAGCCAACTCCGGTTTAGTGAAGCGTTAATTAATATTTATAGGCAGACAAAATAAACTACAGACATGTGATGAATCATGGGACATGAAGTGTACACACATATACGCTCATATATAAAAACAGTCAAGACTAATAAGCGAATAATTGACAAGGTCAAAATATGACTGAAGTAGAATGAATAAAACGGAATGTCTGAAAACTAGAATATAAGATATATGGGCTTAAAATAATGACTGACACTACAAGTTCCGTAACTTCGGTGAATGTTTCGTGCCTATAGGTAACCCTCGTGCTATTGATAGAAGAAAACAGACAAGTAGTGAATAGGTCTTTATTTCGATCTTAGCGCAGTCACAGTGGAGCGTGGGATTATCTGTTCAGACAAACAAAGGCTTTCAACATTCAATATAAGATAATAGGGAATATAACGCTTATACAAAATAAGGAAGTGAATGAATACTTGAACAATACTGTTTTGGCATATGCTTGGTTGTTTGGGGTCAACTCTTAACCAACCAACCTATGCTGTTACAACTGCTTCTGTCGCATTGTCGTCCCAATTGATGGATTTCGCATTTCCACAAAGTTGGCTGGTTAAAGATCCCATAGGAGACGTGCATTTTGGTATGAACCGTCCATAGAAACTTACTAGATCGTTACACGCGCGCAGTTCCTTGATTGTGTTCGGTTCTGGATAATCCAGAATGGCCGTTACTTTGCTTTTCAGAGGTCGGATGCTTTGAGCATAAATAGGGGGTCCGAGAAAGTTTAGGGAGTTGGTGCTGATTTGACATTTCTGAATGTTTACAGTAATGCCGTGCATTAGTAGTCGTTCGAAGTCAATGTCCAAATGCTGGAGATGAGGCTGTCAATCCGGACTTGCAACCAAGCAGTCATCAACATATGCATGTACGAAGTTGAGACTTCGAAAAACGTCATCGATAATCATTTTGAAATTTTGTTCAGTATTTCTGAAGCCGAAAAACATGTGCAAAACTCATAAGGACCTATAGGAGTGATGGTAGAGGTTTTAAGAGTGTCAGCAGCCATTGGAATTTGGTGACATGTTTCAACCAAACCGATTTTCGAGAAAAAAAGTAATGCCTTTCGAGGTAGCTGTCAAAACGTGAATGTGAGGCAACTGGTAATGATCAGGACCGGTTTCCGCATTCAATCGCCGATGGTCACCAGTTGGACGCCAGTCATTGCTGTCCTTTTTAGGGACCATGTGCAAGAGAGATGCCCATGGGCTGTTTGATGGCCAAATGATTCTTACGTCCATCATATGGCCAAATTCGCTTTTAGCCAACCTCAGCTTTTCGGGAGCTGATCGGCAGGCTTTCGAAACTACGGGTGGTTCTGTAGTCGTGATGTGATGTATAACACTGCTGGTCACACATGTCAATTTCGGTCGCGTTTGATATATCTCAGGGTGCTGATCGAGTATTCGTTGGTGGTGTGGATCGATCGTCTGCCTTACTGTGACTGGGGATAATCTACAACCGGATGAAGAAGTTACGCAAACAGGTTAATTAGCCTTTCCCTCTACTAACCTCCGTTTTCACGTGTCAACGAGTACATTATGATGTTGTATCAGGTTTATACCAATTATTGGCATAAAAACATCTGTGACAACAAAGATCCAGTGGATACGCTTATATAAACCCACGTTAAGATGAACGTACCGCTTACCATATGTGGTGATCGGTTTTCCGTTTGCCGCCTGTAAGTTTAAAACCGGTTTGTGCTGTCGGTCGTTAGAATCCACAGGAAGAACACTAAGTGCTGTGCCACTTTCGACGAGGCAGCGAACTTTTGTAATCATATCAGTGATATATAACAGACAGCTATGTTCGCCGGTTATTGTTGCCGTTAACGTGTGCCGGCTTGGAAGTTTCCCGAATTGTTTTTCGTGTCGGTAGATTTTGAGTTGGGCAAATTGCAGGGTTTTCTGCAATTTTGAGACTTTTTGTGTTGATTATGATACCAGCACCAAAGAGGGTTATCTATCTCTCGTAATCTAAGGACAGATCGTTTACGTGAAGTACTACGGAGGGGGGGTTGTGGGAATCTACGGCCGTGGCGAACACTGAGGTAACATGTCTGAGTATGGCAGTGTTCTGTAACGTCATTTTGTGTCGTTTGAAGAGTTTTTGACTGAATAGGCATCGACGTCAGAAGTTTTGGTGATTTCTAGAGTTCGGTTGGCAGGTACGACTAGTTCGCCTACGATGTTGTTTTGAAACAAGACAAGCACTGTTTGGGAAGCTTAGACAAGAAAAGTTATCTAAACAGGCCATTGTTGAAAGTCTTTGACCAACGACCTCTGTTACTCGTAATAACATGTTCGTTGCTTAGCTATGTTGTAGATCGATGTCACTGAAGAGTTGATCTAACCTTTGTCGACAGGTTGGATCCACGCGTTTAAGAATAGACCTTTTTGGAATTTCATAAGGTTCCGAGACATCACTAGTAAACATACTAGATGTGACGTGCCTGTTGAAACCTCACGGTAGTGCCCTCACTACTTTAAGGTACTGTGCACGTGGGGCCGTCACGCCGTGCTCGCGGTGACCAGCCTAGGACGGGCAGAAAAATATACGAAAAAACGAAGCGATGTCACAAATAAAAATTAAACAAAGAAATGATATATAAAGTTCCAGAAAGAAACAGACCCAGCTCACAAATGGGTGTACCAGAGCACATCGGGCACGTCACTGAAGATACTACAATCATTTGGAGTTTGACAACACGTAAACCAGTAACAAATTCTATAATCTAAATGTGCCAACCCGGTGCAATCAGAAGCCAGAAGCGAAGAGGTTCAATGATATATTTGATAGGTCATGACTTTCTATTCACCTTGTGCTGGCATGATCACTTCATTGACCAATCAGTTATTTTATTGTAAAAAGGTTTGTTACATAGAGTAATTACTTTTGATAGCTCATATGGATGTAAATCAATACTTTTAATCCTATATGACAAATTTATACAACAATCTTCACCATTGTTTTACTTCGTTATTTAGTCACGCTTCGCGCTCCTTCTAGATCACACGACTTATTGACTTCTTGGAGATGTCTCGGTGTTTGTTGTCACGACAAATGTTTAATAAGGTATTTCGGTCCCGGTTTCTTAGAGTCCCTGTTTAGTTTTTAAATTTGAAGCCATTGTGCTCTTTCTACTCATCTGGTCCTAAGGGACATGTTGTTGGCATAGATCTTGGAACAACAAACTCATGTGTTGCAGTTATGGAGGGAAAGCAGCCTAAAGTTTTGGAAAATTCAGAAGGCTGTCGCACTACTCCATCAGTAGTGGCATTTACAAGTGACGGAGAGAGACTTGTGGGCGCGCCTGCCAAGAGACAAGCTGTTACTAACTCGGCAAACACGTTTTCTGCAACCAAACGTCTTATAGGGAGGCGGTATGACGATCCAGAAGTACAAAAGGACATGAAGAACTCTGCGTTCAAAATTATTAAGGCTTCCAATGGAGATGCTTGGCTTGAAGCTCATGGCAAAGCCTATTCACCCAGCCAGATAGGTGCATTTGTGTTAATCAAAATGAAAGAAACTGCAGGTTCGTTTCTTAGTGCATTTTATCAAGCAGCTTTTCAGAAAGTTATCTGGGGTCGAAGGTGAAAAATGTGGTGATCACCGTCCCTGCTTATTTTAACGATTCACAACGACAGGTATATGTCTCTTTTTCCCACCTAAAAGTATATCTAGGCAACAAAGGATGCTGGGAAAATCGCGGGCATGGAAGTCTTGCGTGTCATAAACGAACCTACTGCTGCGGCTTTGGCTTATGGTCTGGATCGAACAGATGACAAAACGTAATTTCACTACTATACTTATGTTTTGTTTAGGATAGCGGTTTATGATCTTGGGGGTGGTACATTCGATATATCAGTATTAGAAATTCAAAAGGGGGTGTTCGAAGTGAAATCCACCAATGGCGACACATTTTTAGGGGGTGAAGATTTTGACAATGAATTGCTACGCTTTCTGATTAAGGAATTTCAACGAGAGGTAATGGTCGTTTCCTTAAACTAGTCTTTTTAGCAAGGTATCGACGTCACTAAAGATCCAATGGCGCTCCAGCGTGTCAAAGAAGCTGCAGAAAAAGCTAAAATTGAATTATCATCTTCCTTGCAAACCGATATTAACCTACCTTATTTAACTATGGACAAAGCAGGCCCCAAACATATGCATTTCAAATTAACTAGAGCAAAATTAGAACATCTGGTGGAGCCTCTAATCAAGCGTACAATCGAACCATGTAACAAAGCCTTGAAGGATGCCGAAGTAAAAGCTTCAGATATCAGTGAAATTATACTAGTCGGTGGTATGACCCGAATGCCCAAGGTGAGATGTATACATTACAAAAACCAAGTTATCATTAGGTTCAAGAGACGGTTGAGAAGATATTTGGAAAGACACCTAGTAAAAGTGTTAATCCAGACGAGGCTGTAGCTATGGGTGCGGCAATCCAGGGGGGAGTTCTTGCTGGTGATGTCACAGACGTGCTACTTCTCGACGTTACTCCTTTGTCACTTGGAATAGAAACTCTAGGCGGTGTTATGACTAAGCTTATAAATCGAAATACAACTATTCCCACAAAAAAATCTCAAGTGTTTTCTACGGCTGCCGATGGCCAGACACAAGTTGAAATCAAAGTGTATCAGGGTGAGCGTGAAATGGCAAATGACAATAAATTACTGGGACAGTTCTCCCTGGTGAGTTCTTAATAACTTGCTGTTATTGTACTTTTTTATATATAATCACGTTTTTCGTATGATATTACTTCGTTTATTGTTTCTAATAGGTGGGAATACCTCCTGCCCCACGTGGTGTCCCTCAAATTGAGGTCACATTTGATATCGATGCCAACGGAATTGTCAATGTAGCTGCACGTGACAAAGGCACTGGTAAAGAACAACAGATTGTCATACGTTCCGGTGGAGGTTTAAGCAAAGATGAGATTGAGAATATGGTGCGCAATGCTGAACAATATGCAGAAGTTGACAAAAAGCGTAGAGACCTCGTGGAGTCAGTAAACCAAGCAGAAGGTATTGTTCATGATACAGAATCAAAAATCAATGAATACAAAGATCAGTTGCCTTCAGATGAGGTACGTTAATTCACCACCTTCAATTGTAACCTATAATCATAAATTCGCGTACACTGAAATACGTGTTTCCCAGATTCCACTTAGGATGAAATAAAGTTGTTAAAAAATAGTTTAGGTGGATATATATGTCATGTAGTCAGAAGTATCTATTTATTTTCAAAATGTCTCATGCCTCTCTAGATTGCGAATAGCTGTAGATGATCATCACTACTTTCTCGTTTTTCTTGGAACAGCAGACAAAGGGGCTAAAAATGTAAAATTCATGCTAAGTTTGTTTTGGCTTTGGCATCTCATCCGATCCTTATTGTGTTGTCATTCTTATGAATTTAGTTACACATTACAATAAATGAAGTAGTCCAAAACGACGTCACCTTGAACCGGTGCGTATATGTGCTTGGTCCTACGTTGCAGCTAACAGACCAAAAACGACACTAAATTCTGTACAATCTAACCATCCAAGTCGAAGAATTCAATGTTGTGAAGTACTTTAAAATGAAATTCTTTAACCTGTTCAGCTGTTTATTCGAGGCTTGAAGTGTCCACTGTCTTGACTAGCAATAACTCGCTCATCTATGTTATAAACATTCAGTATAAACGAAGTAGGTGTAATACCAATACTCATGTCAGGTTAGGATGAAGGCAGTAACAGTTAATAAAAGTTATTTTTTCTGTGTAAAAGCGTAAACTTATTTTTTCAAGTTTCACTTACCAACTTAACTCATTTACGTATTATTTATTTGAACACATAAGTGTCGGTACAAAAGTGTACCGAATACATATGCACCACACAAGTCACTTGATTTGTGTGTGGGCTGTGACAATGCCCGGGTGCCCAGACCGAAGCAGGTGGTTTTCTTAGGGGGTCACACCCGGAACCTTCGTTGTAAAGGTCTAATACACGAGACAGTGGAGCAACTTTGAGAGGCGCAGTACTGTGGTAGCCGGTGGGCAACGCTTGGTTCATGCGCCATTTGTTCCTTCAGAATACTGGAGCCAATGTGCACCATTGGTTTGAAATCAGGGTTTTCCAACTCTTCTAGGTAGACTCTCCATGTCCACTAACCCGGTTAAAGTGCCAGACATTTGCTTTTCGTCCTCTGAATTTCGTAAACAACACCCCCGCTACGAGAAGGCAGTAAGTAGGACTTCCCTGAGAGAGGTTGTATACGCGTGGTCATGTGAGAGTATTTCGAGAGGGAGAGCTGATTCCCCATCTTCGGCCGAACCAGGGCATTTTTGGCTACTCAAGCAGTTTCAAGTCACACAAGTGAGTCAAAATAGAGCATGACACAGTTGCCTGTCAACCTTAATTAATGAAGCATACAAAATGATTTATACCAGGGTTTAATTAATTATTCAGTATTGTTTCCGTCCCCTTATTTTTCCTTTTACTTTGACGCTATCGTTTGGCAACTTGGTATAGTACACAGTCGTTGTCATGTTTTTACAAAAGTAGTCTTGAATCCAGCTCTTGGGAATACTTCTGTCATCTTTGGTTAAATATGGAATATAAAATAGATAGATTTCATGAGTAGAAGGTAGTATATAGTCGGTTGACTTTGATATTTAAACATAAAAGTTTGTTCAGACCTTCTGACATGTAGTTAAATCTCCAAGTTCACTGAATTAGTGTTCATGTCTAGAGAGAATATACTGTATTACAGGTCGTTTTTATATACAGCAGCAGTAGTCATATTTTGCCAATTTAGTGTGTCTAAGTAATGCATTTTTTTAACTTTAGAGGGAGAAACTGAGTGTACTTATCGAAAAGTTAAAAAGTCGGTTGAGTAACAAAGATAATGAAACTGCTGAAAGCATTAGAGAAGCTACTAATGAACTTCAGCAAGCATCGCTGAAGTTGTTCGAAGTTGCCTATAGAAAGGTTAGTTTGTTATAAGTTAATAATTTGATTATGTAAAATAGATGGCAGGTGAGCAGGGAACAAAGACTGACTCTCAAAATGAGGAATCAGCCAAACAAGAAAAACAATAATCAACGGTTCGTTGTCAGGATTCCTTCCTCACAAATGTATTTGCTTCAACCTTTTAATTCTCAGAGTCGAGTGTGCTTTATCGAAAATCAATTAACATTTGTTCTGGTGACAATAACGATTGTTTGATTGTATCTTTTGAATTATTAGCTCCTTTAGAACTCGTCACTTGCAGTATTAAAATTGTGTACATATTTTAAAATGTCATCAATAAAATTTATTTCGGTTCATCACCAATTATTCTGAATAACTTTAATGAGTACCTTCTGAATCTCCCTGTTGGAATTTTAAAATTGATCGTATAAACTAAAACAGATTTCCTAAGTTCGCGATTTAAATTGTCCAAATTGCGACCGGTTTAGCATTTCGACTGGAGTGTGAAGTTCCAAGCCTTTGTATATCTGTTACTACTCGAAAAAACTAGTTTAGCAAAACTGCTATTTATCCCTTATCATTTTTGCTTCCGAGAAGTACATAGTCCGCCGGTTTTTTAAGGCGTTTTTGGATGTTGATTCATGCAAGTTCCAAATTCTCATGATGTATCGATTTCCTCTTTAAAGTGATATTTTGGAACAGGATACTATAAATTATTTTTCCAATTGTAGTGTCATTAGACTAAGGATGACGAAAATATTGATGTAACTACATAACCAATTAGTAATCTGTGTACTCGGATTCAGACTACATTCTTTGCTACCAACTTGTTGAGACCAAGTGGAGTGGTGGTATTCACTTTAGGATTTGCTGGTGGTATTCACATTACCGAAGTCTGGTACCTCTCAGGGCATGTTGCGTTCACCAGCGGCCTCCAGACAACTCTGTGCCAGTCTCCTCCCCCTTTATGAAGGGTGTTCATGATTTCCCTTGAATTCCCTGAACCATATTTTGTTTGTCCTCTCTCTAACTATTCTTTAACCTTCAGGGCGCAGTTTTCTTTGGTTGACGCTTTCGTAGTGGGGTTCGTTTTGGCGAAGTACTGTTGCTAACCCTGATCCCAACCCTCTCTGTGCATGGGATAGTCAGTAACCTTAGAGGAAGGAGGAGGAGGAAGGTCAGTAACCTTAAATGTCATGGCTCAAAATCGTTTGTAATGGCTCAGGTCCATCTACTCTGTGTTCTCTCAAATTCTAATCTGAGTTCTTGTCTCTTTTTTTCTGTTTTCAAACTTATTTCACTGGATTATACTCCTTGAATAACATCTCCAAACCCTAATCTTTCCGATTACTGCTTATACTTTTACTACCACTACTGAGTTTGAATTGACAACTGCATCTCTGTGCTAATGTGGTATGGCAACTCGAACTGATGTACGTACGTAAGAAGTTCTACGTTACTGACTGACTGAGAGGAAGTTCAGTATTTGATACGTTATGCTGCGCAACAGTTTGCTCCGTCCTGTTCTATGAGTGTGGACATTAGGGATAATGTGTATTCATGGGTTACTGTCATTCGATCATTGGTGTCTTGGGACGATCACCCGTGTATTTTGGGATCATCGAGTAAGGAGTTCTGAGGTGCTGTGTACCCAACTTTGATTTGCGATGGCTGTCTGGTGTAGGAGTAGGTCAGGAGGAAGCTAGGAGCTCCAAAACCTATATATATATATATCATTAGTACGTGAAGTTATTGACAGTTGGTCTGAGTCATATTGATAGATATCAAATGTGTGGTTGAAGTCCGCGTGGTTATCGTAATTAGTGGGTAGACTGATTGACAACTCGAAATCGTACTCAGTGGCTCAGACGCACTGACCTTTTTGTCTTGCTTCAAAACATGCAGCACGAAATCTCACTTAATCTTTCGAATTACTTCTGATAGTGTTGCTACTTCTACTACTGGTAAGTAGTTGGTAGTCTTGTGGTCTTGCCCTACATCTTGGTTTTCACCGTTGGGTTATTTTCATACCAATCTTTTTATTCCATAAACTCTATCGGCTACGACTATTGAAAGGTTTTGTTAAAAACTGGGAATGTTTGTCGGATCGAGACTCTGTGTATCACTCAGTTCAATTGAATAAGGTGTATGTATACCTTATTGATAGAGATGAGTCGAATCGACAGTGCAAATTTATTCTGATTATGGTTATCTAAATAAACCAAATACTAGTAACTTTTTTGTATGTAGTAATTGTAATCTCCTAATTATTTACAGATTACCAGTTTGTAGCGTGCCTAACAAATCTTTCTATCGATTTTATGTAGTAAAGGATCAGCTGGTCAGAATGCTAAAAACACAGGTACTAATTTCGACCGTCGTAGTTTCTGAGAAGTATAAAGGATTATCAAACTATTTAAGTCGACGCGGAGAAAACAATCACTTCATTTCTTGTCTATATTTCCTATCATTTATTTCTACTGAACATAATTCATTAAAATGATTACCGGATTTCATCATCTAGATAGTGATTGGTTAAAAAAATTTCATTTCTGGATTTCGATGTTTGGGATTGATTACATACTTATTGGCCTAGTTACTTATTATTTCGTCCCGTTTAATGCCAGTTTACTCTGATTTTCAAAAGAAAACTAATTACGTACTTGTTTATTCGTGATACCATTTCTAAGTCTGAGTGGCTTGTTTGTTTGCTCATAATATATTTTATTTTTCTGGACTCCGTAAATTTTTTGGCGATCTAAAGGTTCAAAACTGAATCAGGTTATTTGACTCTTTCATTCTGTCGAACATTCTAGTCGTCTGAATCTATAAATACATCGTTTTCTGTCTACACAGTCTTTAAAATAAGTAGTCTTCCTATGCTTACCAGGAAATCAGTGCTGTTTAACTAAATATAAATGATATGATTAATGTGAACCACTGGTCTAACTATTCATCACTTGAGATTGATTGATTGTACTTCGAATTCTTGTCTTCAACTGTTTGCTGGTGGAAAAAAGTGAAAGGTAGTAATAATTAGATGCCTCAACATATCTTGGTAACTAGGTGGGTAGGGAGTGATTCATTAGTGAATGGAAATTTTATAATTTTCATATAAATATGTTAGAAGAGGAAGATTGATGTGAGCCTCTTATCCAATGAGTTTGTTCTAAGTCATCATCAAACGGAATAGTTGGATAAACCGGAGAATGAAATGTGTTAAAATCAGCGACCTAGAAAATTGTAAGTTACAGGTCCTCCAGTATTGCGAAAATGGGTTATACGGTCAATCACGCTTAGTTAAACTTTATAGTGCAAGTCAAAAGAGACTTAAACTGAAAATAAATCACCGGCTCTTAAATCCATAGTGCTACAGATTTGTTTCAACTTGAATTATTCTTTTAAACAGTTTGAAGACGTTTGAAGATTGAATGATCACTTTCAGTAGACATTGTATGGTCTTCTGATTAATAGTTTTTTGAGTTATATGGAGTTGAGTAACGTCCCGTTTCCTGTCGTTGTAGTGTACGTCATCTGGTAGGTTCATGTAGGTCGGTAAATATAGATCCAGATGAAAAAAGTCGACTTTTTGTTGATACCCTTCTGTTAAAATAAACATTAATTTTTTCATACGACAAACAGCTGGTACATCATGTGTTTCGTTGTGATTTTTTAAAGCTTACCATCTAGCCACGATTAAATTTGGTTTGTTTTAAGATTAGTTTCGGTTAATTCGACTGTTTTTCATAGAATTCTTTCATAAAGGCCCGAGAATGTCCATTTTGTACTATAAAGTCTCTGTGTGGCATAAAATTATTCTAGTCTGTCAAAGTAAATAATAAATAAAAATCTGATTATCAATTTAGTTGTTTCTGTCTTACATACATACCAACAAGTGACAGATGTATAAACCAGTTTCTGTAAACATTCTTCGTAAAATATGTAACTCAGTTCAGTAAGAATATAAATCTACCAATAACGAAATCAAGTTATTAATCTCAGATGAAAATTTTCAATAAGTTAGATACATCACATTGTAAAGTTAAAGCTTAATTACTATTTGTTCAATTGTATCCATGCCTGCAATGACAGTGATAATAGATACGCTTCTTTATTCTTCGATTTATATTCTTAAAGCCCATTGATTGAATTTTGTTATTGTAGGATAGTCAGCTTTTAAAATAGATGAAATTTATTTGAATTCGTTAATTGTTAATTGAGTTTATTAATTAGTGTAAGTTTAAGAATAGAGAACAAATGATAAAGTAAATGTTATTTGAAGACCAAATTTTTTAGTTCTAGATGATTACTATATCTTGAAGGGAGCAAACACAAAGATTTAAGCAGAATAACACGAATTCCATTTGTTAGGTTTTTATCAATTACTTATAACTCATAATTGTTATACAAGTTAACATACTTATACAAGCGAACTTGATTATAAGTGAGTTAGTATCATTATGATTCAGCGGGTATCTCACTAAAGTTAATAAGACAGAAAAATTACTTAAGATAAGTACAATGTGAGAGAGAAAATTCTAGAAAATCAAAATTGTAACCAAAGATCACAGGCGAAAATTCTAGTTGATTATGCAATTTAGCAACGAAACACAGGTTAGTGGTAGAGGAGAATAACATGAATTGAGATCAGTCAGTTTGAAATAGAATTATAAGTTTTGAAGAATTGAAAATGATGTAGTCAAGGTATGAGAAAGTGTTATAAAAATGGTGAGGTAGAAAAGTGAATGTAAAGAAAGATTTATCACCTGATTTTTTAAAAACAAAAATCAGGTATCAGAAAATCTCAGAGGACTTTATTGGGAGCTTCACTCCATCATGATGATACTCATTCACTTCTAATCAATTTCGTTTGTATATGTATCTTAACTTGTATGATAATTTCAGTGCTAAAATATTATAAGTTGTAAGCAGCTGATGAGGACCTAACGAAACAAAATGGATTCGTGTTATTCTGCTCAAATCTCTGTGTTTATCCTCTTCAAGATAATAAACGTTATTATTAGTACGAAATTATTGTATCTAATTGGATCGATGAAAAGACCTGGGGAAGACAGTGGACTAGGCATCAATTCTGAATTGACATACGTTGACACATGTTTCTAGATTTTTCTTCTGTAAAGTTCCGATATATAATCTAAATGACATTTAGTGGCCAGGGGTCCGACTCCAATTAGGTCATATTAGTGTTCGTTATTGAATGATTGCTGTCGAAATATATATGTCGCCTATCTTCGTATATTTCATTGACTTAAATCGTGTTAGTCAATAACGGAGTTAAATAAGTCAAATACGATAATGAATTTCGAATGCATATATTTCATACAATCTTTGATGTCA